GGGCAGCGGTTAAGGCAGGGGCTTTCTCCTATAGTACTCTGATAGTAGCCGGACATGTTCTGAGACGTTTGGTACTTCTGCCATTGCACCGGTGCCACTCACTTCGCAAGTTGTGCATCAACAGCCAGCGCAGCCTTCTGAGTCTGAGTTTGAGGCTCTGGCGGAACTGTGCACAGCCTGTGGCGTGGAGGCAGGGCCGGACTCGCCGGAAGTGCTGCTACCGCTTTCCTGCGTTGCTGTCCAGGAAGCGGCGCTCGCAACCTCCGAGGCACGAAGATAGCAGCATTGCGGGCATCTCTACTGGACTCTGCAGCAGTATAGCACGGAAGATCTTCAGCCTCAGCCGTGGTGCCGGAGGTGTCTGCACAACAGCGTGTGTCCGAGAGGCCAGCTGTAAGCCTACACTGCTTGTCTACTACATGCGGTGTCGTGCAAAGCAGGCAGATCTGGCTTCGAGATTGCACCGGCACGGATCTGTTGGGCAAGGTCGGGAAAGCGGCACTGCACATGTCTGCACGATTGCCTTGGCATGCAGGAGAAGGGGATCATCAATCCTTTCCGCGGGGCCGTCCAGGTGCCGGCCTTCTTCGTGGTTCTCGTCTGATCATGACGCACTGCTCACTTGCAGTATCGAAGCTTGGTGACGTAGTTTACAAGAGGCCCTGCTCGGCGACCAGAGCATGATAGGCGTCTCGGATGTCTCGGCTTGTCTGTGATTGCTGGAGCTTTTCCGTTGCGATCATCACCAGTTCACTCGAGGCCTGGAGAGTACTGATGGCGTTGGACGATGCTGCTGGGCGGACAGCAACGAAAGGCACGATCGAAGCCGGGATCATGCGGGCTGTGCAATTCTATGGACTGTAGTCACACCAAAACGGCTCCCGAGATCCCCCGAGCTTCGGATGGATGCCGCCGGTCCAAACTGGTAGGATTGTCTGAAGATGTTCAGGGTCAAGCTCCGGGCGAGAACCCTTTCCTGCGTTGCGCGGCTTCGACGATCTCTTCACGAAAGCTAGCGGCTTTGCTTGGGCTTTGTTCAGGCAGCCGCGGTGCATCCCTGCACTTGTCTTGGGGGGTTGTGAGGTGTAGGGAGGTGGGGGGCGGGTGTGCCGGTCACGAAAGCTAGCTTCTTTGGAGCTTACGGGAGTCGTTGTTGACAGATTCGGTTTGGGTCACGAGACTTCACCCGGGATCAAGGCCGCTTTCTCGATTTGCGAGGGGCGGCAGCTCTCCAGGGGGTGGGCACAACCGCCATCATTCGGCAACATAGCCGCAGCGCCCATCTGCATGATTGAAAACAGCAGCATTGTCGAAGACTGTTTCACGTTCACCGCAGGCTTCTATTTCGACTCGTTGTTGACAAGCACAAGCCTTGACGAGTTGGTAGAAGGGTAAACACGCATTTCGGATTTATTGAGTTCTGTTTCTTCACTGAGGAACGAGCCCCAACCAAGGTAGCAAACAGACAGCACTCTGCATCATTCTCGTTTGCGTAAAGTGCTCTTCTCATTTCGTAAAGGTCTCTGCTCGCATTTGCAATACGCAGCTGCCGCTTCCCTCCCGCTAGCTATCGTCCCCGTGCTCTCAAGTCTTCAAAAGTATGTATTGCTTCAAAGAGTTGTGCGTGTGTGTGTGTGTGTTTACGCTGTATACTGAAGGCATAGCAAGAATTCACTTGCTCCAGACACTCGCTCGCCTTACACCATCAGGCATTCACCTGTCGCTCGCTGCTTTATCTCAACTGAAGGACTCAGTCTCACTCGCGCATTGACGCACTGGCTTACCAATTTACCCACCTCGCTCCAATCAGTCTCGGCTTTCTTTGCTCACTACACATCTTCATTCGATCGTGTCAATGCTTCCGTTCATGGACAGCATATTTGATGCAGTCTTTCACTGGTGGTACTTCTTTAGCGGCTTCAGCGTACCATCTCGGGCTGAAAGCCGTGCCCGCCGGATAATATCACCCAACTATTTTGGCCGTCTTCTCACAGACGTGCAGAAGTTCGCTCCCAGTGAGTTGCACATGGCCTCAACTATTCCGCGATTCTCCATTCATGCGCTCAACTTACACCAGCAATCGATCGTTCACTCGCCATTTGCGCGTGCTCCCGTGAGAATTTGCTCACTTCCCTGCTGACCTCGACTGTGTCAGCTATTCAACTTGCCACTTGCTCACTTCCTGCAGTAATTCACTCACTCTCCTTGCCGCTCACGAAGTCTTCGTCACGGCTCCGTCATTTCACTCACCCATATCTGTCTTTGATTGCTCACTCCCTCGCTCGTGACCCTCACCGGCTCATTCACTTGGCTCAGAACTTGTTTCACACACCGCAGTACCTCGTGGCGTTAGTTCGTTAGTTGAAGATTGCACTCGGCCACTCCATGCTGCATTTTCTCAATTTCATTGTAACTCACTCGCTTAATGAGCCAATGACCCATGTGCCCACTCACCCATGCCTTCGTTCGAGCGTAAACCGCGCACCGTCGAACTCGGAACTCGTCCTTCAGACCCCCCCACGAAATCCAGTCGCTTCAATGGTTCGATTGCTTCTCACAGTGCATGTAAGCCATTGCACACACTCCTTGCGTTGACACTCCTCCTCTAGCTCAAGCCCTTTTTCCACTTCCACTCCTTACTTCACTCACCCATCCGCCCACGCACCCTCTCTCTTCCTCCCGCCCCTTCAGCCACTCACTCTTCATCCACGCGGTTACTCGCTAACTCGCTCGCTTTACCTCACTGGCCCACTCATCCGCGGCTTCACTCGCTCATGCTTGCGTCTCTCACGGCAGTAGCTGTGAAGCTTCTGTAGTTGATGCTGTTGCGATTGGTTCGCGAAGTGGTGGATTGGCTTTTGTTGGCCATGGCGTGCCGCTAAGTAGGTGCTATAGTACGCAACGAGAAGGCATCATAACTTGTGATATTCCGTGCCAGCGGACGTATGGAGTTAGTTATTCTGCAGGCTTTGCGACTCGTCAGTCAGAGTTGTGGGGGAGTGGGGGCTAAACACCGCGCCAAGTACACACATGAGCCCGCGCCAGTATGGTGCCTTGCTCTGCGGTGGCATCCTGGATTCTGCGGGAGTGCCACGCTGGGGACTCGGTGTTAACTGAGGAACGAAGATAACGAGGCTGTTTGCCTTACCAATGCTGTCTACTTTGACGTGCGTCGAAGGCCATCCACCCCATGCTGCTCGAGGATTCGGGGCTGCTGCTGAAGAAGGCCGATCTGGCTGAGCGTTCCGTGATATACGGTGGAATTTGGGTCCAGGTGGATTTTCCAGCGTGCTGCACGTCGTGAGGGTGTAGTCTTGTGGCAGTGTGTGTCGGGTGGATGCAGGAGGCGGCCCCGAAGGTGCCGAAAACCGGTGCCGAGAAGAAGAGCACAAAGCGCGAAGGCCGAGGGACCCCAATTCGGATCGTGCTCTTTAATTGGCGGTGCTCTGTGCATTGTGTCTTTTGCAGGTGGCCGGGCAAGCCACCAAAAGCAGAGCTTCTGGCAGAGTCTGCGATGCTTCTGACGCACGCAAGCAGCCGGGGGCTTCAGAAGTTTCGCGACGTATGCAGGATCAAGTCAGACAGCGTGCAGCAGCGAGGTCGTTTCGGTCGTTTGATGGAGTGGCAAGTTTCCGGTCACACGGACCGCTTCTTTCCCTGCTTGTCGCTTTCTTGCATTGGCAGCATCCCTGTCACATCGCTGTCATGTTTATCGCGCAATATCATGCAGGTCGAGCTCGAGAGTGCGTCGCGGTAGTAATCCATGAGCTGTGCAGTCCCGTTCCTGCAAAGTTTCGTGTGGAAGAGGAAATCACTTTAAGTCAGCCTACAGTTCCATACAGTTCGCCACTGATTACTGTTGACAGTGCCCGGAAAGAGGATCTGCTTCTGGAAGCCCGCCGCAAAGGCCCGCATCCTATGAATACTTGTGGATGCTGTTGATGAGACTGATGGTAGAGATGCGACGGTTGCAGGAATCATCCGCTCACGTTTCTGAGGACGGTGGGCGTGACTGCCTGCTTCTGATGCTACGAGTACTGAGCACTCGCCCCCATGGTCCGGCTTCGCTTGTAGGCAACGATTTTTTCGAAAATTGCAGCTGCATCCTGCCAGCTTGGCGGCTAGGGATGGTTCAACTCAATCCGCTTCATGCGGGGCACACATCATCTGCACGAATGCTGCTCTTTGATTCATGTCGATCGCTGATGTGCTCCCGCTTCGGCTTGAGGCTTCGCCAAAGAGCAGCCAGCACAGCATTCTTGCATGTCA